TTAAAAGCAAACAGCACGCACGTCCCTTATACTTTGGAACTCATGGCTAAAGTTCTTCCTAATCCTAGCACACGCTAAAAAGCAACGACACCCACGTGAAAGGAGTGTTACGTGTAGGCTGTAAAATAGATAAGATTAGAAACCCTTATGAAACAGTTTTGAAATGCAAGTGGCTCAAACACACATTTGAAAGTAGAAACAACCAACTAAATTCTGACACAAAACCTCTTTTTCACAAAGTTTGTAATACAAAATATTTGTTTCTTCACAGTAGACGAAAGATACTTTTTTTTATTAGAAATTATTTTTGATATCATTTGTTTGATTAGAATTAAGAATTTTACAACCCAATTAAGCAAGCACAACTTACAAAGACATGTTCTAAACGTTAATCGTGTGAAACAAGAACAATATTTAAAAGGTTTTATGATGTGGACTCCTTTTCTAAGCCGGTGAACTATGATTATAGTTAATTATATTTGTCATATTTGTTAGCTGGTTATTTGTTTTAGAGCAAAGCCATATTTTGCTTCCTGCTGTGTCCACCGCGGGAATCAAACCCTGGATTATAGAGTTGTAAGTCTGTAAGACGTCAAGTCGTATGTATTGGGCTTATTATAATTCTTAACACTGCATTCTTTATTCAGTCCCCAGGATTTGCCACGAAGAAGAAGAACATATAACAGTATTTCAACCACACTCTGATGATGATAAAACCTTGTAGAAACGATGTACATTTTTTCTTCGTTAAACTTGCAATAAAATTTCCTTTGCTACCCATTCAAACTGTTTCCAAACTTTATTAACCACACTATGTTCACCATATCCATTGCGAACAACTCGTTTCGCTCAATACAGAGCTCATAAGGACGGCTGGAACTCAACAAACACAGAAGCGATCGGAACACTATTTATATAAGCCATTTGTTACATAAACAATTGTTATGGTGTTAACGCCTTTTTTCAACTGGGGAAACGTGATTTTAATTAATTATAGTTGTCATTAGCACTTGGGTAATTACGTTGAAACACATTTGTATGGCAAATATAATATCAAACATAGCCTAGTATTTTATATCACGAGAAGATGTTTTTTTTTAAACAACTAAAACTGCAAAATTTTAATCCATGAGAGTGGCCTGTCTTCAGCCAATGTACGATTAACAACAAATAAAAAATGAAAGTTATCACAATATTAAATTTTATCACTATGAGTGATTCTCGTCTGTTAACTTTTAATAAGTCCAGCAAAATTAAGTGATGGAAACTAGGGGATGTTTGTATATTTTAGAGCAAAACCATATTGTTCACAGCAAGACACAAAACACTTCACTTGTAATGGATCCAATAAGATGTCGAATTGACCAACGAGGGGTGGAATAGTGTTCTTTTTGGAACCAGATCCAACCTCATTCATATGAAACACAGTGCATATTACAATGGTGAAGTATATTATGGACAAGAATAAGCCCTAGAGAACTTACCATCCTTTATATATATATATATATATATACGTAGAAGGATACTATTGCTAATGACCATTTATAAGGATCACGGCATGTTTGGTGTCTTACGTTAGCGTAATTGATCCTCACTTCATACTCGTGAATGACAGTGCCTATACCCACTATACAAAACAATCCAACACGTTTATAGGAAAAGGAGGGATTGTCCTGCACTTTCACTTGACCTCAATCTCATACATGGAGTGCATATGAGATGTTCTTTAGTGATACGTGTAACATCTCATCAAGTGACTTTAGACACTGTAAATGACTTGGAAATAGCTCTTCAGAGCTTTCACAGGAGTGGTTGGGAATTCTGCACTACCTTATAAATACTCTGATTTTCAGTACACATTATCGATGTCAGGTTGTTCTACATGTTCGTATCTTATAACAGAATAGTATAAAAGTGAAATGGCATGGTGACTCATGAATTATAAGGATGCAAACCCATTTCTGGTCAAGTATGAGCATTTGCTTTTCAGATATTCAGTTTACAGAAAAAAGTTAACTGGGGGATGACTGATATTATTTTATCCCAGAAGTTTTGCCTTGTGATGACTAAAATAGTAAAATTTCAATTGTCCTTTACTTGTTATGCAGAAAATTATCAAGTATCTGCAAAACACAAGCTCTAGAAATGTTATGCAAAAAGTTAGAGTGAAAATGAACTCGGACAGAAAACAAAATAAAGTGAAACAAATGAACATTTAAAACGGAATATTTTTTCACTGATAAAAGGTATGTTTTTATTTACTCATCAGGCTTCTACTAAGGCTGTAAGGCTTTAATTGCTGCTAGAACAGGAAAATATCGTATCTGCCCAGGACAAAGACGAATGCAAGAATAATACAATTAAATACCACACCGCTAACTCAGCCATGCTTCTAGTGTGGAATCACCCAAGCCCTCTAAGAGGTTCAGAGAGGCCACTTCTATCTTTTGAAGCTTCTGACTATAATAATAATAAAAAATGATGACACATGAAACAAAATAAGACAATCATTAGCCCAAAAGAAAAGTGAAACATAATTTGAATATTTAATTTGTATATAAATTTGCAGCTCTAAGCTGAGAGTGTATGTCAATTTTGGTCTGATTAAGAAGCACGAAAAAACTAGTCGTGAAGCTTAACAAATACAAAAAGAACAACAAGTATCTAAATTTTGAGGCCTGGGCCAAATGTCCCTACTGGCCCCCATCTAATTGGTCCTAGTATCACACAATTTGTAGATCCCCTACGTTAATTATCATTTCTCTTCAATATTCAAGGGTGATAAAAATCCAACTGACACGAACTTGTACAAGTCTCTGAGTGAGAATTGTCATGTCCAATATCCAAGAAGCCGCTGTGGTAGCGACATTTCTCAATATTTAGCTACAGGGTAGGTGTCTAGAGATTTGATATATTTATGATTTGCCACCCATTACCGTAAAATGTACTTCACACTTTGGGACCATGAATGCAGTATAAGATTGACGGTTAAATCCCAAAACTATTTGATCAGAATTACTTAAAATCTGTCAGTGAGTGTTTTTGACTAGCTGCCTTCTCATTAGTCTATCAGTTCAAAATTAGGAATGGCTATGCACCCAATAGCCCTTGTGTAGAGTACCTCCAGTGGGACAGCAGTAAGTTTGACTTACAATGCTAAAATCCGGGATTTGATTCCCCGCAGTGGACACGGTAGATTGTTTAATTTGGCTTTGCTCATAAACAAACAACCCCTTGTGTAGCCTTTCAAAAACAACAACACACAATAATTATAGAATAATTGGAATTTATAATATTTCAACCATAACAAGGCAAACATGTTATAAAGTAACTTCAATCTATCCCTCAGTTAATTTTTCATACATTTGGAAACTGTGAATTCATCTGAAATGCAAACTTTTGGTCAGATGTCCTATACATGGATCTTCGACCACCGTTCTTAATTAGCTGTTTCCTAGGCATCGTTAATGTCTGAAGTCACGTGACGAGGTGTGACAAATCTTCTAAGAATATCCGTTACATATTACAATGGGACTGAAGCCTGGTGAAGAATGTTATTTTCATAAAGTTGAAATTGGTGTCAATTACATTAGGATATGATCCCTGTAGTGGGTAGCATTACTGATACCATCCAGCAGGAGATATAGAATGGTTCATCCACCATTACTTATTTTTGCACACACCTTATGTGTGTCACATTCTTGCAGAAACAAGAGAATGGATCTGGTTTCACATTAGTATACATCTGTTATCTGTCTATGGAGCTAAGAGCAATTTTTTTTTTGAATAACAACAACAAGATGTTATGGAGGAGAGATGGTGTTCCTCAGGTCTCTCCTGTGCCCCCGAGTAAGCTTACAATATTCATATCCTCACAAGATAGCATATATACATTATATAGCACAAATAGACATATTCATGATTATCTCTCATTACGAGACATAGATTGAATGTGTTCTTGGTATACTATTGTAGGATAGCCGTTCGTACTTCGAAGGGTTGGTGGCTAGCAGAAAGATCCTGAAAAACCTGGTTCTAACGATTTGTACACTGACATATCTTCCACTTATGGGCCCAAACATCGATCTAATTCAGTTTCAGAGGAGGCACCCTTCGATAACGGTGAAACATAATCAGCAGATAGTGGTAATTTGTTTATGTTGTGGATGATAATCTATCTTATTCAGGTGTCCGAGAAACTGTACTATTGGTTTAGAGGAAATCTCACGTTCTGTAATGATTCGCCTATTGTGATTGGTGTACTGTCACTTTGCTGACAGCTACTCCATAATTGTAACATCCAAATGTCTTCTTGGAGTTCAGACCATGGTTCATAAAGGATTTGGAACACGTTAAACTGAAACGGGACTTTGTGAAACCAGAATATATATAACGTTATTATTATTATATGTTATTTAGTTAAAGGAAGTGATAATGGGTGAATCATATATAGGGAAAGCCCCCCAGTAGCACAGCGGTATGTCTGCAAACTTACAACGCTAGAATCTGGGTTTCGATACCCGTGGTGGGCAGAGCACAGATAGCCCATTGTGTAGCTTTGTGCTTAATTACAAACAAACAAATATGGGGGAAAACCTAGCACTCAACTGCACATTCTATACTTTTATTGTAAAACGATTTATTAAGGCAAATGTAACTTTTGGAGAATTCACGTAGTTAAATAGACTGTATCCGTCTATTATGAAAACAACTGTTGATTTTGAGGTGTATCTGAAAACCAGCGAGTTTTCGTCAACATTAAATCATTGATTATATTCTTCTTAATGGTCTACCAAGAAATATCCCCAGCTTCATTGCACTGAAATTTTTGGATGAAAAGCTCTCCACATTAAAAAAAATCTAATTTCTAGATAAAGAAACTAAAATTGATAAGAAAAAACTTTTTCGTTGCCTTCCTATTTGTCCTATTAAAACATAAATAATCACTAGGTTAATGTGAACTTTAGAAAATTGTAAATGAAAATGTTCAATCATTGAGATAGAGTTTAAGAAAATCATTTATGCTAAACTAAACATGACCAACCCATAGGAGTGATTTCTCATTAATATACATGAATATTCTGTAATCCATAGAGCGTATCAGAGTTGTCATATGCATATCAAACTTCAAACATTATTTCTGATGAGATTGAAATACAGTCTTTTTCTTTAATAAATTCAGCAAAAATGTTGGTTTCAAGTCTCATCGTGCACCATAGACACAAACATTTAAGATCTGCAATGTCACATGGCTTCAACCATTAAGCCTTTTTTTTTTCTTTAGTAAGGCTGTATCCTGTACTGGGAGAGCTTTTCTTTGACTCCAGACAGAGCCTGTAATAAAAAAACATAAAGTTTTCTAGTTTTCAAAATAGAAATGTAAATTATCTTTGGATTATAAACAATGCTAGAAAAATGTAAATTTTTTGTGTTGTAAAATGCTGAAGGTATATCATCTCACAAATAAACTAGTTATCTCATAATCAACCTAACTCGAACTTGTTTACAATTTAATAGATAGGGAGAATGTAGTCTCTGGAACCTAATAAAAAAAATAACCTATGTATAGGTAAATTGGTAAATAAAACTAACAGTATAAAACCTAATATTAATCAACTGCTACATCTGTTTTAACAGTCTAATAATACACATCTTGTTCAAAGTTCTAAAGATAGGGAAAATATTTCTTTAACAGTACACAGCTTCTTTATTGTTCTATAGCTACAGAGAATATAATTTCTTTTAACAGTTTAATAATACCCAGTTTGTTTATGATTTCTTTAACAGTCTAATAATGCACAGCTTGCTTATAGTTCTGTAGAGGAGGGGTGGGGGGAGGGTAAGTCATTTCCTTTAACAGTCTACTAATACCCAGCTTACTTAGAGTTCTACAGCTAAGAAAAATTTAATTTCTTTAATCTATGTAAATAAATGTCAATGTGTGTGTGTGTGTGTGTGTGTGTGTGTGTGTGTGTGTGTGTGTGTGTGTGTGGCGCGCGCGTGTGTGTGTGTGTATATATATATATATCAGTTCCTTATTGATTTCCACATTTCTTGATCAATCAGCACCAAACTTAACATATATCTAGTTTTGGAAAAACTACCAGTGTTCATTAGAATGAACTATGTAACCACTATAGTTAGAACTCTTGAAAGCAGTATGTCTTTCTTTTCAATATTGGCACCTTTATGAATTTTTATTGCACTTTTAATGTTTATTATGTTAAGAAAAAAAATAAAAGCACAATTTCCTATTCTTTGTTACAAATTAATTTTTATTTCACCTGTCCAACAGATGGATACTCCAGCTAATACCTAATAATATACAGTTTGTTCATAAGTCTATAGATAGGGAGAAAATAATTTATTTAACAGTCTAATAATACCCACCTTGCTTATAGTTTTATAGTTATGGAGAATATCATCTTACTATAAAGATGATCCATTATGTATGTATATGTCTGTACATTAGCATTTATTACCCAGAGTTGGCTGGTTTGATTATTGTCATTTTTAGTATGGTAAATGGAAAGAGTCTAAAAGTGTACATGGGCTATCTTGTTTTAGAATTTTTGTCCAAAAAGGAGGATAAAAAAAACCCTTGAATAAGGGCACATTTTTACTTTTCTATTGTCTTTTGGGTTTGGATTTCAATACATAAGTACTTAATCAGTTTAAAGAAGCAATTACTATATACCACAAAGTAGGGTATGCAATTAGCCCCTGTTGAGGTCATTAGGGATTTAATAACAAAAGAAAAAATGGAAATATTATCCTTTATACAATTTCTGCTTCGTTAACAGGTAATACTCAGCTGGTTTCTTTAACAGTTTAATAATACCCAGCTTGTTTATAGTTCTATAGCTAGGAAGAATATCATCTCTTTTAACAGTCTAATAATACACAGTTTGTTCATAGTTCTACAGGCAGGGAGCTCATAATAAAACTACTAATAACTAACTTATTTAAGAACTCTGTTGGTAGAAAGAACTTCTCATTTCAAATTTCAACTTAACATCAGCATACAATTTGTCACTAAATCCCCACTCTTGTATTTAATGTCACTAGATCTTGACATAACATATTACAATATTCACTCATTAACAATATTACATTTACAAAGGACCTTGAAAAACTACTTAGTAGCACTTAATTTCATTAAAACTTGACATTTAACACATTACATCATTCACTCGTTAATACCACTACATTTATAGAGTACCATGAAAAACTATACAGCAGTATTTACTATCACTTAGTTTTGACATTAACACATTACAACATTCACTCATTAAAAACATCACTTTACAATTTTTCTTCAAAAACTGTCAATTTTTACTTCTTAATGACAACTTTTCTTAAGAAACTTGAGTCTTCTTTTTTAAAATGCTACAACTTAATGAAATCATAAGTATATACCTTTTATTCTAGTGGATAGGAAGGATTCTAACATATTTTGTTGTGTGAAAAAGAAAATAAGTTAGTAAAAGACATCAAGGTACTTACATTTTATTAAAGTTAATTTGAGACACAAATGTGTACATATATTTAATTTGTATGCATATTCTTAAGAAAACTATTTTCTTGTTTCAGTAGAACTTTCGGCAGAGTAGACATAACAGTTTTGAAAACTTTAATGGGCTGCAACTGCCTGTTGAAAGAAAAGGAGACAACATTTTTTACTTCTATACTGAGGCCTTTTTCAGGTCCAAAAGCCAAAATGTCATCTCCTTTTCTTTCAACAGGCAGTTGCAGTCTATTAAAGTTATCAAACCTACTATTTGCCTAGAACTATAACCATAACTTGCCATAAAAAAAAAGTGAAGTCAGCATTCTGTATCGCAGGCGAGAAATTATCTTGAATAATTTCAGTGCCAAATATTCAACATCCTTTCACTTGCAATGAGATATTACTTTCAAATCATTATAATTTTCAACATCTTGAAGATCACTAGGTTAACAAATTCAAAAGAATGTTGATCTATTTGTTGAACAGCTCTAACTTTTAAAATCATGGTAGCTTCAAATCAAACAATTTCTTTCACAGAACATAAAATGTGACTTACCTTATCTTATTTCAATATAATTATAATTATAAGTTACCTTGAAGTTTTCAGAAGAGGTTTCTTTTATCCATATGCAAATCTTGCCATCTTCTGCTCCAGTTAAAATTGTTTGACTCTACAATAACATAAAATACTAAGAGTTAGAAGTGTAATTTTAATTCAGTAATTTTTTTATAGTAAACATATGTATATATAAAAAATCTCTTCAGCCCCTTACAAGAACAGAATCTCATATATAAAAAGGTTAATGATAAATGCTAAATGCAACTTAAAACAGAAATACATGATTTTCACTACTTTTCTAGTGAGCTTTCAGCCTTATCTGATACCTCCTATTAACTGACTGTGTGAGAGTATACAATCAATTCAATTTTAACCAAGCACAACAATAAATTCCATTGACGTACTGAATAATATCTTAAGGTTAATCATCCAATTCAAGAAAACATAAGTGTTCTACTTTCCATGTTTTTTGACATAAATTGCAACACCTCTACCCCTGATGAAGATAGATAAACCTGCAGAAACACAGTTCTTATCAAATTTAATAATATTATTTATCAACTTTTTCGATATTACACAGTTTTTACTAATAACAATTAACCTCAGATGATTTTGAATGAAATAACAAATCATCAGCAGATCATGGCACTTAATAGTTGTACAGAAAAAATGTACACGTACATAGAATTTAATTTGCTATAAAATGTGCAACTTTTATATATATATATTTTTTAATAGGTATAATTGTACAGGTTCATTGTTTTATATCTGTGTCATTAAGATTCCATTTATCGTATAACAGCACAAATTGTAAGGTTTTAATGTTGTTTAAATATTAAAACATAGTTATTAATCAATTAATCTGAAGAAGGTTCTCGAATAGTGTTGAAGACTTACTATACAAATATACTTACCACTTTCACCTAGGGTCATTTGTTTGCACAAACAAATTAAATAAATATGAAATTTAAAAAATAATAACATTTTGATGTCTACTACCTTATTAAACTGTCATCAGAATCTATAAGAGCATAAGCAACAAAAAGCAACATATATGCTACTGGGAAAACTGGGCACAAAGTTTTGCATAAAAATGAGAGAAAATAAATTGAGCAGGTTTATCAAGCCTAACATGTGTCAGGCTGTGTCCTAACCGACTTAATTCTTCAACAGTGGGGAGGATTTGACTATCTCCAACTATATGATGTGAAGATTACAAAAACTGTTATATGGCAGAGGAAAACCAGTTCTAAATCCATATATTTCAGATGGAAACAGGAAAGCAGAGTTTAAGTGTAAAGAGTGAAGTGGGTGATGCAGACTGATAAGTCATGGTAGGTGTAAAACGATATGAAGAATGCCACATAAGGCACTTGATCCACAAGCTTGAATGTTGCACAATTTGTAACTGGAATCCTTTTCCACAAGCTGCAAAACATTAGTATATAATACTTTTTGCTAACTGGGATACATTCAAACAAGATGCCTTCTGGTAATCTGTGGAGTCTATGCTATGCTAAGTTCAAGTGTGGGATTCCAAGGATCGGGGGTGTAAAAAGTATTCAAATATGTTATTCAAGTTCAAGTAAAAGTAAAAAGTACTTTGTCAAAAAGTTATTCAAGTACAAGTAAAAGTATCCATCCTGAAATTTACTTAAGTTACAGTAAAAAAGTATCTACTGAATAAGTACTCATGTAACAAAAGTAAAAAGTACACTCATCTGCAGTTCTCTCAAACCTTACATGTATGTTGCGGACCATGAGGTCTAGAAACAAAACCCTGTATGAAAAATATTTACCAAACTATGTAAATTACCAGTGATGTACAATTTGTCATTCTTTTGGTCATCTTGAACACATTTGTGGTATATAATTGATTACTATGGTGTTCACAACTATACTCAGAGTTTCAGCCAACTCATGCAGGCAACTGTGCATGAATTTATTACAACAGTAATGCCAATAATGAATATTGTACATATCTTACTGTTTCAGAATAAACTATATAAGGAATTAAAAAACAAGCATATGAATTCAACCAACTATATTATGCAAAAACATTCTCCTTCAATTTGAGAAGCAACCGATTTTCACAATTGCCACAGTCAAGCCTTGCATGTACAGGGCTGAACATCTGCCCAGCACAGCTGAGGAGACGCTCGCAGGCAGCAGAGGCAGGGAGTACCATGTTCAAACGTATGGCTATGTCAGGTAGGGTGGAGAAAGACTTAAAAATCTCCATGCCATTAACAGAGCATGCCAGATATGCCTCTAGGTCCCTCTTTCCAAAGCTATGCTGTGGTTTCAGAATTCCTGTGCATGCATTGCATTTTGACTACTTGTCACAAATCTGAGTTTTGAGAATAGTAACCAAATGTATAAAATGAAAGGTAGTGGAGTAAAATTACAAATAAATTCTCTTAAAAATTACTTAAGTTAGAGTAAAAGTATTTGAAAATATAAATACTTTTTAAAAAGTAGATACTGAAAAAAGTTACTCAAGTAAGTGACTTCGTTACCTTTACACCCCTGCCAAGGACTAAGTTAGCACACAATTACCTGATCTTGCCAATAATTAGAGACTTGCTGACCTAGTATGCAGAAGATGCAATGTATTTACTTTTATATACATGGAATGAAAGATACAAGACTTGGTGTAAAGTTGAAACAAGAATGAACACTATTTACTGGAAAAGGTGTAAGATTCATATATTAGCACAAATTGTAGACTATCACATTGGTGGTTGTGAAGTTATAAGTGAAATAAATAAATTGTGTTTAAATAAAAGAAAATAAATTGTACTTGACAGTCAACTGGGGTCAACTGTTGGTGAATAATTAAAAAGGAAAGATGTGTACACAAGCAGCAGGTAGATTGAAAGAGCCAGAAAATAAAGACAAGACTGGACCATATTTCTATAGTTAGCGTACTTTGTCTAAGATCATTACAATTCCAGCAATACACAATGTACTTAAAGCTCAGCTTAAGTTTTCTTCTCCTTCCATTTCAAAGGAAAATTTTATTATTAGCCTCTTTAATTTTGATCACTCTTCTCATTACGAAGATTTGTTCATTCCATCCTTGTGTAACAAGGTTGGTAAGAATCCCCATAGTATTCCAAGACCTTTGATAAATTGTTTAGCCAAGTGCCAAAAATTAACTTGGAAAGTTAATAGGATTTTGTTAGGATTATCTCCAATCTAATCTAATGTTTCTTCTGTCATCAACAAAATTCTTAATGTAATCTCTGGTGATCTTGTCATTCTGCATGAGAATGATACAAAGTGAAGGGTTCTTATAGAGAACTGCATTAAAGAAATCAGGAGATGTAACAGAAAGTCCTATATTAGAATAAATTTTGCAAAATTGCAGAAATTCCACAGAAAAAATGAGGTATGAGCATTAACAGAAATTCTTCAATCAGCTTACTAAGATACTTTACTAACAAATACCTGTGCAATACTGTGTACTCCATTTCAGGACCAAATGATGAGCCATTCACTACTTTATTTAATGAATCTTCAATGCAAGTGGCTGAACTCAAAATTACTCATGGTAAGGTTAAAAAAAAAGATGATGCACCTCCTCTCCAACAAGTCCCCATTTCTGTTATGCACATAAACTGTTTTATTGAAGTAATTTGTCTTCTGTTTAACTGTTTTCTGAAGATTAGAAATCTTTCTTCAGGAATGAAGAAATTTTGAATTGTTTTAATCAAGAGGAAATTATTCTTAAGTACAGCTACCAATTATGGATCTATAAAATTTGATGTAACACCAATAGTTAAAAAAATCAGCCATCTTAAGTTTCACCCAGAAGGCTTTCTTATCTTTCAACCCAATAGCTATAATCACAACACCACTTGATAATATGATAACGAAAGCAAGTTCCAAAACCAAAGGAATTTATATGATAATGGTGAATTTGGAAAGAGCTTTTGATTCAATTTCACTTAATCATATCAAGATAGCAATGAAATGTTTCAATTTTAAAAACAAGGGTTTTGGAATATTAAAGTACTACCAAGAACACTGACCTTGGATCAACTAAACTTCCAATAATATTATGATGAAGAGGTGAGTACAATGTAACCCATGCTCTTGTACTCTCTTCAATATGATAACTGATGAGTCCAAAAAATGAATTTCGATATGGAGTAAAGACAGAAGAGATACACTGATGCTTTTTCTTTGGTGATTATGTGACTCCCTTAGTTTCATTTAAAGGCAGGAATAGACTTAATGTTAAGTATTAAGTATTCATTACACAGCACTTAAAGATTAATTCCAATTATACTTAATGCAAAATCAATGAGAAGAGGCAGAAAGTGAAAAGTATAACTCAATCCCTCTTCAGCATCAACAATATATTCCTAGGAAACAACTATATGTTGTATTTACTACCTACTTAGGCTTACATTTCTCAAGTTTACGTAATCCTCCTCTTATCTTGTCTCACCAAACTCAAAGAAGACTTACAAGATCCATTAATTACCGCTGAAGCCCAATCAAATTTTTCCTAATTAACAAGTTTTATACATTGATATGATTATTAGGACTGGTAGTAAAAAATTTTCATCACCTGTCTGATGATGCACGTTATTGTTAAAACACCCAAGACATATTTAGCATCATAAAGTTTTAAGAAAACGTTTTTGGGAAAAAGACTTAAATATCTTCAAAGGAAAAATGATAAACTTCCAAATGCTCTAGTATTAACAAAGTATATTAATAAACTAACAAGCAGTGCTTTACACTTTAATTTTAGAAAAAATTGAACTAGAGCACACAACTATAATGCTATTTATAGAAGAATATTAAAAAGATGTCAACACATTTCCTCTCCACAATCTGCCACATTCTGATAGCTATAAGTATACAACCATATTTAATGCCCCATATTCATATGGATTACTAGTTTTTGGAAGGACTTGCAAGTTTTTAGTAATTGCTGCTATGACATTCATCACGTCACAATCATTAGACATGAGTATATAAAAACAAACTTTCCAAATACCAGAGTCATTTAAACGAAATTATTAAAGAACCAAGTGTCTACAATTTTACAGTGAGAAGGATTGTAAAGCTTGATGCGACTTTAGTCACATATATTAATGTCTATATTCTTGATGTAGTGATTTCTTGAAAGGATGGACAACATTATCTTGATGAACATTACAAGGATTAAAAATAACATATTACAAAATCAAAGATGTTCAAAGTAACTAGTGTACACAGTAGTGTCAAGAAAAGAGTGCAAGCTTTATGGCCTTACACGCAGTAATCAGATGTAGAGAAATTGGCTCTTACTTAACTGCACTAGGACTGATATTCTAAAAAGCCACCTTTTCATTCTGTTCACCATGAAGAAATCCATATGAGCTTATACACTTTTTACTAACTATTTCAAGAAATGATGGGCAAAAAAGAAGACACAGCCTACTGTCAATTAGATGCATACAAATGACCTTACTACTAGTGATTCTCATATGATCTCGTTTGTTTAGAATCTTACAGGTTGCATCTGATAAACAGCCCCATCTCTGTTAAAAATCTTGTTTTGCTGTGTGAAGGTGAAGCCAAATACCTTGTCATCTTATTAGTGACAGACAAGAATATATTATTGAGATTCCTACTGTTCTTATCTACTATGTATCTAAACTACAGCCAAGGTAACAAGTATGATGAAAGAATCAACAATTTCATAGATACTTCTGATGAAGTGAGTAACACTGAGCATTTAACAATTTGAATGAAGCCTAGAAGTATATCTATCTATGATAAGATAGACAACATTATTAGTAAAGAATTCTGGAGAATGATAATTACAAAAATGCAGAATTTACTCAACAGGAACAATGTAACTTAGTAAGAGGTGAATTATGTTCTTAAAATATGTGAAAACAGCAAGGAAAAATATCAGTGCATGAACTGTATGTCAAATTTTATTAGATATATTGAAACAATGGTATAATTTGTTGAGACAAAAGTACTTCAGATAATCTTTGTTAAGAATCATTCCTTTTAACTAATAATTTAAATTTATATAATCTTACTAATTTCATCACATTTTTCAATCTCAGTGCTTAACTGTTTAAGTCTTTCCTTACGAAGTGTTAAGTAAATACTTTAACAGTGAAAATACTGTTGTTAATTTTTTATTTAAGTTATTCATTATTATTTTTACACATACTAATGGTCAAAAAGCTATTTTTAATGTAGCTATGCCACACACTAGACTAACAGTATTTATCTTTCATATGTACTAGTTTTAGTGAAATTATGTAAAAAATTAGTTCATACTTTTATAAACGAATCTCATTTAATTTTATATTGGTCAAGAATAATAAAAATACATCATTAGTAAACTTCATACAGAATATTTTATGTCAACAGTAAACTTCATATACAACAAACATTTAACATAATCAGTAAACTTCATGTAAAACAAACATTTAACATCATCAGTAAACTTCATGAAAAACGAATATTTAACGTCATCAGTAAACTTCATGTAAAACAAACATTGAATATCATCATTAAATCTCATACAAAACGAATATTTAACATCATTAGTAAACCTCATACAAAACAAACAATTAACATTGTGAATGTTTTCTCCAATTTGATACATAAGTAAATTAAAATTACTGTACATGTTGTATATGTACCTTTCATTTGGTGAAAACAATTCCTCTTTAAAGGTAAAGCAACTGTCAATATGGACTAGATTAGCCTAAGAGACAATCATAATAGAAATGTAGTCTGGTTCTGTTGTCTGAGTAATTTCTTATTTAGGAAGTTCCAATGTGATGCAATATAGCTATATGTCTTTGGTGAGTAATAAACTATCATATCAGGTTACAATTATACTTGTCAAAAAAAAAAAGTATTGGGCCCATTACATTTCAAAACTACATTCTTAATTTCAACCTATCAAAAATTACTTGAAGCAGTTTTTGAAAACTGCAAATAACTATAGTAATCTAAAACAAAAACTGTTTTATGAGAGCAACTGAATATTTAGACTACTATACCTCTTCAATCAACTGAGCAGCTCGAATTATCCCTTGGTGACCACCATTCAATATAGAAAACAATGTGTTCTTCTCCTTGCTGACAGTCCACAACAAACATTGACCACTGTGAAATATTTAAAAATAAATTTAAACTTATTTTCAGAGAATTTGTGTTTATGTTTCAATTTTCAACTTTATTTTTTATTTAAGTCAATTTGTTTCATACAAGCTTGCAACTGAGTTTTCATTAAAAAGTTCTCTTGCAACAAGCTGGTATAACTGAAATGTGATAGCAACTTTACCTATTACTTATAAAAACATGTTATCTAGATTATTTAGAGAAATTTGATAATGTCTGCTTAGAATTCCATATTAACTACTTATGGAAATAAAACAATCAGAAAGAACAGTGTTATAGATATTCACCGTCTGTTTTGATAATATTACCTAGCTGTTCCTGTGAGCAACTGGACAGAGTTTGGTTGGTTGTCAGGAAAAGTTTCCACTAAATAATCAACATGCTGAGTGTCCTGTATAATGATAAAAAAGCAGCCTCACTAAAGTGGTATTAGCATTATAAAGAATATATTGTAACAGTAAAAAAAATAACCTAATTCTAAAACATTTTGTTTTGAGGGCATTTTTATCTTCATTTAACTACTGACTAAGGAAAAAAATCCAACATTAAATCATAGTGCTAATAGAACTTTGTAACCTTCTTATTAATTTTTCAGTAATGTTAAAATTTGCTCTACCTGAAAATGAGTTTCAAACAGATACCTCTCTACAGAACAGATAGCTAATACCCAGTTCTGCTACTGAAATATTTTTGCGCATGCGGCAAGCCTTTGAATGAAATTCGAACTTCTACAAGTAATAACTTGTACTGTGTCAGTCTATGATCAGTCTACGATGCAATCAGCATTACACTTTCGCCCTCTACTAATAAAAGATCAACATATCCTTCAAACACAGTATACCCATTAGCATTTTGTGAATACCAAAAGTTCATTCTTGACATGGCAAGAGACACACACACTGGAAGAGTGGGAGGTTCTGTGGAGAGGTGAATATCTATCTGAACACATGAAAAGGTAATGAAAACGTTAATTATTCACCTCTCCACAGAACAGATAGCTAAAATCGCACATTGAGAAAATGGTGAAGGGACATGTGAAGATAAAAAATTAAATAGATGAGATCCTGAGACTGGAGACCAAAAAGGTGGAAGCTTGAAATGGAGGAGAAGGGTCACAGATGCATCAATAAGTGGATTCATAAAGAGGGAAACAAATTCACAGAAACACCAAAAGATGTAAAGACTACTTCATTGGGAGGATTTGATTTGTGTGAGACATCTGATCCACCACTAAATTAAAAACTCCCAGAAAATGAAAGACCAACAACTGGGTGTTCTTGTAACCCCAAAAGTGGGGCTTGAGAGCAAGAAAACAGAAGCCCCACGAGCATGTAACTTCCTATCAGTTGATGAAAGATACAATATTGGAGTTGTTGAGATATATCAAAACAGAATGTCTACATACAGGTAACCAAGGATGTTGGTAGACTTATTGAACTGCCAATACCTCAAGGCCATGGATATGAAAAGCCCAGTCCACAGGAAACCAAAAACTGAAAATGTGAAGGTAACCAGTACTACAACCCACCTAACTAAAGAGACATCTATGAATATGTGTAAGTCCAAGCCAGAGGAAGGAAGGTTGATGCTTAATATCATGAGGAAATGTTAAAGCCAACAAAATAGTAATAGTTAAAAAGATAAAACAGTGGATCACAGAGCATATTCTACTAATCTGTCAGAATCCACTGAAGAGTACAGAAAAGGACATGTCCAGGGGAAGAAAAGACTTGAGAGAAGAGAGACTTCCTAAAAGACACAGAACAAATCTAATGTGTAGGAAGAAAATGAGACATGAGAGCCTTGGAAACCAAAAGCTCCTAGCTCAATAATGTAAAGGATAAGATTGAGTCCAGCCAGCAAATAAAGTAATAAAGACTTCCATATGAATCGGATACAGAATAAGTGTCAGTAACGACTTAGGAGCCCGAATAACCAACACAAATGAGCAGACTCCTGAGAAAGATGATGATGCCTTTTAAGACAGGGCTATGAGATGTCAAATGTTCATTCAGTAGTGAAAATGAAGACCAAACAAGTGCATTCTTTATGTAAAAGCTCTCAGAAATGGAATGGAAACAGATGGGTATGTGCCTTGATAGACAATGAAAGTTACCGAGAGAAAATTTGAATGACCTAAGGGTTTCCTACAAAGTGAGTCCACAAGGGGACAAAGTGATCACTGAGTTCCATGATGGCAGGCCTCTTGAGAGGGGAGAGGATGACACCAAGAAGGGACCTCAAGACAAGGAACTCTCCAGAAAAGTACTGCATGAACAAAGGGTGCCAAATAAAGTTCCCCAAGACAAAACTGAGGGATTCTAACTCCAGAAAATACGCCATCTAAAATAAGGTGTGAATGCAAAATGAGGTGGACTTTACTTGGTAAATCAAGGATAGATGGCATTCTAACATCCATATAAGGACTGTCAACAATCAAAACATTTTTTTGGATTATAAGTTGACTTCTTTTCCTAAATCTTCTGGTCATGTACCTTTTTTGAAATTGGTATATTAATATTTCCGATCATATTCAAGATAAAAAAATTCTAATGTACTTTTAATTCTTAAAACTCAACTAGTGTTTTTACAAATGAAAGATAATTAAGTTATTACTATAGTAATTTGGCATTCTGAGTTAACTAAGTAATACCTATTCTAATTATATTCCAATAATACTTGGACAAGAATACCTCTGCCAATAAAGAACTAAAACCTTTTCTTCAAGATCTTTCAACAACTGCAGTGAATTAGAAATTGATACTGTTTCAATAGTTCTCTAAATATTTAATTTAAAATACAAATATTTGTGAAAAACCTTTTAAAAAGATTCTCTGCAAGTACTAGAAAAATGTATCTTGCGGAATCTTGATTTCTTTGTCATATAAAAATGTTCACCAAAATTGCTTTAAAATGCCATTTTATAGTTTCAACAAAACCAAAAGAATTTATGCCACTAGAAGTTTTGAAATACTTTTATGATCTGAAATAAAACACAAAAAAGGGCCTTCAAAAGTGATTTAAAAGTTAACATTTTCTTAAATCATAAATGCATTTCCAATAATACTTATCTCTCTCACTACAGCTATTACGTGACTGCCAGAGTTTCTTCTTTTGCCCATCTAAGCATTGATCTAATTTTTTCTTGCTTGCTTAAGTCTTTTATACCCCACTTAATTGCCATTGCCATTATTTGTCTTGTGACACTCTCCACCTATGTCAATGCACCCTCTGTCTTGGTACAGTAAATAAGCCCCTCATTCAGATAATGTTACCACTTTTTCAAGACTAACTTAATCCACAGTCTCTAACACCAACTCTTAGTGGGGAGGAACAGTGGGAGAGTGTGAGATGAGGTAAGCATTATTGGAAATACATTTTTGACTTAAGAATATGTTAACTTTTAAAACATACTTACCTCCCCTCACACTACAGCTAGAACCTCACATTGATAGGGTGGAGAGGCCAGTGAGGGTATTATCCACACAAAGCATCTGCATAGATCATGGGCGTGTCAATAGAAGATTGACACCCTAGTGGGAGAACTGCACTACATCAAGAACAAGTATGCTCTTCACCTGGAACTTAATTCATGTACTGTAGGTGGAATTCTACATGATTTATCATCACTACTGGCCAGGCCCCAACCAGATAGCCAAAGTTCCACTGTTTGGGGCTGGAATTATAGGGCCATGTTCCCTATATCCCACGTTGGTGGCTAAGGCAATTGGACCGCAAATGTTATATAAATATATATACTTATGAGTGGATCCAAACCTGTAGCCATAGAGTGATGCATTCCGAGCCAACAGAATCATGAGAAGGTAAGCAACGCTGAAGTGGACAAACCTTCTCCTCAACCTGAAGAAGTCTGAAAGGCAACACCCCAGGCTCAGAATGACGAGATCTTGTATGCCATCTCAACCTGAGGAAATATAACTCACCCTGTCTGGAATCATGTACACTTATCTTATCTCTCCAACAGAGTGGCAAGGTAAATTTTTCTTGTCTCTGGTACTATGGGGAGGATGTGGAAAAAAATTGTGCTCAACCAAGGACCCAGGATGGGACCACTCAGCATTCGGAATTACAAGGAGATAATGAATCCTCTTCCATAAGTAATGTACTGAACCAATACTGACCAAAAAGAAGGGCCAAGTTCTACCATATCCGATAGCTGAGCACCAAATCTGAACTAGTATTATGAATAGGCTTCCACATAAGCTGGTGCCTCTCCTCCCAATATTTGAGAAAAAAACATTGAGGGACCCAGGTAGGAAGGTCCCCAACCTCGCCTTCTTCTCAGTCTAACATTCTGGAGGAAAAGCCTCTGTCCACCATTCCAGTGACTGAAAACCAGATGTGATAAGAACTCCCTAGCTCCACTAGTAGAATCTGGGGAGTCCTGAGGAACAGTGCAATAGGTGAACCAAGTTCCCTAAATTTCAAAAGCACATCAGCACTGATTTATTCAATCCAAGGACTGGCAGGATCCCCTTATACTTTATTCATGATAGTCCATGAGTGGCAGTCCAGTAGAGTAGAGTAATACCATTCAGTCAGCTTCCAGGTGGTCTTATGGAACACCTCATTTCTACAGAGCCTGTTGCAAACTAAATAAAGTATATTGAATTAGTGGTTGCTAGTGCAGAATTGGTTTGATAAAAGCACACCTATCTGGGCAACACTTACCACAGAGTGGGATCCTGCGAAAATGAGGTAAGGGACCCTGAAAGGTAAAGAAGAGACAAGTGTAGCAATGAAAATGCTCACCCCTATGTATAATCTAGAAGAAGTGGTTAAGATAGCTACAGGAGGGTAGTCGAAAACCCTCAGATGAAGAAATTGTCAGATAATGCAAATAATGCGAGATAAAGGTATTGGGGAGATCCACATACCAGCCTGCATAATGTCCTCCAGTGAGCAATTCAACGGGGCTGCTAAGGATTTAGAAATGTGACAAATCTGATTAGACATGATTCGCAGAAGTCTTCTCGCTTTCAAAGAGAGCCTAGAATAAGTGATATGAATCAATTTTGTACCCACCTCGTCAATGTAACCAGGGGTAAATCCTGGGAAACTGAATGGTCCCAATGAATAAAAATTTGTTGTCTAGCATCTCTAAAGGCATTAGTGTGGGCAACAAAACTTTCAAGACCCATACTGGACATAACAAACGATTGAAATCTAATCAGTCATAGAAGTGAGAAATAGGGATCAGGTGAATCATTGAAAAGGATTTATCCCTTTCCCTGGCTGACAGTGTCTTAGGAAAGAAGAACCAGTCTGAGGACATAGGTAGAATGATAAAGCATCCTGTGCACAATCAATGCAAACCACTCTAACCAGCAACATATGTAGGTCAGAAGCAACAAAAAATAAACCTCCAGGTAAAGGTGATACATATCACATAATGTTAAGGTCTTAAACGGGTGTTGAGAAAGGGCATGTAATGCCACCTTAATATATCAGTTAGGTAACTGGAATGGTCATTTGGGACAAAGGGCCCAAAATGACTTGAGGAAGCTGGAGAGTACTGGGGACTCAAATAATTTTTGTCTTGAGTATCAAATGGTAGTCAATAAGGCTGCCTTATACATGATGATTGTGGAAGATGAAAAACCCTAGCCAAAGAGCAAGGTCAAAAAACGAGTTATGGTTGGCACTTCTGATTCAAGTGGGTATAACCTCCTCTCAATACATCATTGCCAAAACGTGTGCCCTTTTCATTGATAAATGTCCATCGCAGGATTAAGCAAAGACTGAGCCAGATACATGGCAACCTTAGAAATTAAACCCTGATTCTGTGCGAAGGGCTGCATAACATCTATGCCTAAAGCTTGAGCTTCTGGATAGCCAGGAGTACCATGTCAAATCATGGCTGCCTCCACAGAGATGGCCAAAGAGGAAGTGGGCACTCCTGAAGCTACTGCAGAAGCAGAAAGCAGGGTGTAGATGTCAATCAAGTGCTATCAACAGGACACAACAATTGGTTTGAATAAATCATAGTTAGTACCTTAGGTAACAAACAAATTGAAGGGAAGGCCTGGAGTTGTAATCCCGTCCAACCATGATGGCATGTATCCTTTGCCAAACCCCGAGTGTGATGTACTGGATACCAAATTGCCAATTTGTTGGATGTTTCAATGAGTGGCCAACCCACCAGTCATCAGTGTTTCAAAATGAGAGCCAATCCCACAGATAACCTCATGATGCAACATCTATTCTGTTGGGAGAATCTGTTTGGGTCGAGACAATTGATCTGCAATTCCAGTCATCACCTGTGTAACATGGCCAGCTAGTAGGGTGATATAATAGGACTGGTAGCAAAAAAAGGAGATCCAACGGTCGAAAACAAAGAGCCCTGGACCAAATGCCCCTTGACAGGAAATGCAAGACACCACCATAGAATTGTCAGAGTGAAGCTGATGACATTCCCCTTAATAAGCCCAAACCTTGAGGCATTGCCTTTTGAAGAGCAAGAAAGTCTAAAACATTGTGTAGGCAAGCCTCATCATCCTTGTGTAGACCCTGGAATTCCTCAGTGTTGAGACATTTACCCCATCCCTGAAGCAAGGCATTCATGAAGAGATGGATCTCTGGACGAGGTGGTGGCAGAGAAACCCATATAATAGTATTGCCCCAATTTAACAACCCCTTGAGATAGAAGAGAATGATCCTGAATAAGGAAACTGAGGAATCTAGTGAAATAATGTTTATGATTCATTGGTCACATAAAGACCATTGAAGGGATCTCTTGTGTGTTCATCCCAAAGACATGAGGGATTCAAGTGATGTCCACATTCCCAAAAGAGAAAGAACCATCCATGCAGTGGGAGAAGGCTTCCTGTTCAATAGCATGGAGCCAGATGGGAGTCTTCTAAGCTTAACTGAGATATGTGATGAAAAAAAACCCAGACTGACAACATATTGAGTTGGAGCAAGAATAGATGTCTCAGCTCTGATAATGAAGCCTGCCTTGGTTGTTTCTGAAAGTAGAATCTGGGTGTGACATTCAGCGATTGATGAGATGGTGCCAGTTGTCCATGAAATGGTGTGTACACAGGGCTAGGAAATGGAGGTGACAAGAAAACATTCATAAGATTTTACAGAACCCATGTGAGGCTGATGCTAGTTTGTAGGTAAAAATTCTGAACTGCAGTACCTGACCCTTGTGCACAAAAACTCCAATATTGGCAGGATGCCACCACTATGGCAATGGGCAGGTAGGAGCAGACTATATTGAACTTGGACATCCACAATCCTAGTAAAAAAAAAGCCAACTCACAGTGAGGAATGAGTCACTTGTGAACCTTGGAGAATCTAGGAATTGATATAGACAAGAAAAATTGATGACTGAACACTGATCTCCTGTCATCTTGGGTCCAAAAAACCAATGGGAATAAAACCCCGGAAGAACTGGCACAACTCTCTCTCTACCCCCAGAGCAAACAAACTCTGACAGCCCTAGAATTAAGTTCCAAATTCCTAGGATCTGGGATCTGTGGGAGACAGAAATTCTACAGGTTGGGTGGATAATGGATAATGAAGATGTGAACTGAATGACTAATCCTAACTCAAGGACCTGTAATGCCCATGGTTAAGATGTATCACACGTCCAGAAATTCTCGGAGCCGAGCCCTCACAGACCCAAAGGCATATAATAGTCACCTCTGCTGCTATCAGAGTTCCGACTGTGCAGAAGAACTCTTGGATATGGAGAGAATGTATTCTGGATACAAATAGACCGAGGGGCTGATATTAGGGGGTAGGGACCCTTGATTAAGGGTGGAACTATGACTCTCTATATGAGCCGATAAAAGTCGAGATGTCAACAACAACAGGGATGAATGTAGAAGTCGACAATCGAAACAATGTGCATGATAAAATGGTTCCAGTTCGTCATCAGTGGACTTGGTGATTCTGGGAGTTTAGTTTTAGGAAAATCACATGTTGGATTTTAGAGTTGTAAGTCCGTAGACTTATCACTATCCCACCAGTGGAGATTGATCTATTCAGGTTAACTACAAACTCTGCTCTAGAACCCCTAATTTACAGGAGCATATGTATTCTTTGAGAGTCAGAATATGCTTCTCCCTTGCAGTGGTAGGCTAAATCACACAAAGGCATATAATAGTCACCGCTGCTGCTATCAGAGTTCCGACCATGCAGAAGAACTCTTGGATATAGAGAGAATGTATTCTGGATACAAATAGACAAATCTAAATTCTCTCTAAAATGTCCAGGATCATCCTCAATAACACCCTCAGAACCCCCTGGAGGAACACCACCAAACCAAATATATATGTCTCATCTCACTATGAATAAGATCACTAACAGTCTCAACCGAGAGTACCCCCCACCCAATTGTTGAGCAATGCTAGATATCAGAGGTGGAATAGGAGAGACCTGATTTGCCTCTGTGCCAGAAATAATATTTAGGAATTCAGCTCGCCAAACAAATTTTTTATTTGTTTTTAGAAATTCAACTAGGTAACACAAGGAATGCTCAAAGTATCTCCTAACGATTGTAACACAGAGAAACCTGTTAGTGGAAGCTTTGTTGAGAACATTATCTGAATGAGGTGCATAAATACAGTATCAGAATAAAGGGCACGTTGATGTAGGTGGAGAGTGTCACAAAACAAATATCACCAAGGGCAATTAAGTGGGGTATAAAAGACTGAAAAAAGCAAGAAAAAATCAGACCAATGCTTAGATGGGCAAAGTAAGAAACCCTGGCAGTCGAGTAATAGCTGTAGTGTGAGAAGAGGTAAGTATGTTTTGGAATGCTGTTTTGCAGTAAAAGAAAAATGTACATGTACTTATGCTAGGTAGTGTTTTTTGAAGTATCTTTATGGGCTGAAGAAAGATAAAAGTTATAAAACACAAGCTGTTTTAGATTGAGGATATCTAAGTACCAAGCATTTCTGAAAGGTATGTATTGTACATACACTCAGAGATGACACTCATACATGTATAACTTCAAATACATTCCAAACAATTATAAAATGGTAAAAAAACAATTGTACAGTCTCTTCTACTGGCTCAAGCTAGATACATTATTAAACGTTTCATTCAGATTACTTAGTACTATCTAGTTATTAGTTTATTTCAGATTAGAACTCAATGAAGTGTAAGATTATCAGCTCATTAATCATAGATGTTATTGTATAAAGGATGAAGGTAATTAGGAAGACCTAACAAATTGAGCTCAAAACTGCTGATGTGCCGATTCTTCTGTTCTTATCAAATCTGTCAACATCTATATGCATATTAAACAAATGACCATATCCATCATGTGACTTTTAACTGAACTAGTAATGTCAAGATAAGAAAATCATATCAACCCTGTATGGAATTGAGATAAAACAGTCATCATAACAGATGAGGCCATCAGTCAACCCCTGTGGGGAAAATGGCAGCTTTAACAGATTAAATTACTGATTTACAGGGATAGTAACACAAACAACATTTGTACAAACACATACTTTGCACAAGTTTCCTACACAATGGTTACTTCATATAAAAACCCTCTTATAAAACATAAGATTAACATAAATAACACCCTTACACATTGCACATCTTTAATAAATACAAAATAGATAACTAAAACAAGTATTCTTCCTATAGAAAAATATGTTTAAAACAAAACAAAATGTTTACGTATCACATCTTACAAAAACAATTACCTAACATAAAAGATACTTAATCAAGAGATACTTCAACATGAGACATAACACCTTAGACATGAGCTATACCTGAAATGAAGATTTCAGCTGTTCTCTTTTTACAGTGAACTTGGGGGAGACCTAGAGAAAATAAAGAAATTAAAAGATTTCAATTGACTTCATTTTCAATATTCTGAATATGTTTAGAATAGTGAATAGAGATGACCATGATCTTTTAAAAGATTTTTTTAAACAAGTTCATAAACACATCTTTAGTTTTTGAACATTATCAAACTTTATACCTGGGGTAAAAACTAAGTTTTCTCTTCTAAATTCACTAAGCTGTAATGAATTAAAAGCTATCTATAATATTAGTTAATAGGGCAATACTGAAAATTCTTGTAGATTCTAAGAACTATGTTACAATTCAATTGTTTTATAATCTAATATCTACCACTTCAACTGCAAATTCGTTCTCAAATATAACAGTTTTTCACCAATTTACTTCTTAGGAATATAATTAAGGTACCACAAACCCATTAAATAGTCTTGAAAACTAATATTTTGTTTCATTTCCTGGGTATAGTTCTAGTTAAAATGGTTTGAATAAATATTTGGTTTTTTAAGTTTAAAAAATGGTGTATGACATACACAAAAATTTATCAACATGCTTAACAAACAATTTGGGAGAAAAACAAAATTGCATTTAAAGCCAAGTATTCAAACTTAATCATGAAAACAATGGAGCAAGGAAAGGCAATAAATTTAATCCTTAAAATATTTAGACATAATCCAGTGCTAAAATTAAACAATGAAATACTGGATCAAGAACCATCATCAAATTTAACCAAGCACATACTGAGGTCAAATACAAGTACCAAAAAAGCTCTGAAGACCAATCCTACCAAAATGTTTTCCTTTAAACCAAAAATTTACCACTTTAATGGTAAAATGAAATTCTTTAGATGTCAGAAAATTAAGAGACACTACAGGAGTCATCAATAACAGCATCTGCAAGGATACAGTCAAACTTGTACATGCTAATTATCACTGAGAAAACATCATGTTTTTCATTAAGATAAGAGGGATGTTTTATGAAGACAGAAGAATTAGTTGTTACAGAGTTGCATTCCAGGCTAGAAATGTTCATTTTCAACGGACCATTTGACCTATCTAAGTTATTCTATTTTTTACTATCACCATAATCCAAGTAGCATACAGAAACCCCCTTTTCCTTTATTCGACCCCTAAACTCTATAAAGCATTCATCCTCCCTGAAAGCCAATCTCCAATTAGAAAATAAATACTGAATTAACTGGATCTATGTCTTAAACATGTATCCTCTAGTCTTAGTGTAGAATTTCTATGAAAAATGCTATCTGGATTTATGGATTCCAAGCTTCTAACAATCTTAAAAACCCCAAAGCATGTTAAAATATCATCCATCGCTCATACAATAACTCTTCCAAATGTAGAAACTTCTTGGTAGGTCTTCTTCCATTCAATTCTCTCCAACAACACAACATACCTTCTTAAATAACATAGCCAAAACTGAATACTATTCCAAATGAGAACTAACTAGCACCTCATAGCATAAACCAATGACCTTCTTTGACTTGTGCTCAATATAAAATCCTGTTTGCTTTATTGCTAGCTAACATACATTGTTATGAAAGCTTTTTGTAATAGCTATATTCCGATCCCTTAGGATAAAATTACAGATGGAAAAGGTAGAAACTAATGGATCATGGAAGGGGCAAATAGCTTTATGGGTTTTTAGCAATTTATTAAACTGTAGGGCTGTTGAGTCATGAAGTCTCAATATGAATAATATATCACTAATGAAGCCTTTTTCCCTTTCTTTCAGTAGAAAAACTGAAGTTTTTGTTCCCAAGAATCAATCAGATTACCATAAAGACTTTCACTCTTTCTTAAATATTTTCATATTTTAAGTAATTCATAATTACCACAGTGTTAGTTTTACTTGCTCTATGTAAGATAATTTTTTTGTTCTTGAGTGTTTTAAAGCTTTAATTCCTAGAATAGTTAGCTTAGATGTTAGTCATTTCTTTTAAAGCAATTTGCTTTGTATATCAAACACATATTTTTCATTATTAAAACAAGAAAAACAAAATAGCATCATATCCCTAAAAAACACTAAACTATATGAACACATTATTTGAATTTTATGACTAACTCTTTCATTTTCTGGGAAAAGTTTTATTCTGTATGTAAAAATAAAATCCTGATGTAGAAACAAATTTAAATAGTAACCCTTCTTTAATGTGTTTATACACTGTTCCATAAAATAACAAACTTATATGTAGCATATTAATATATGAACTGCCATTATAAATAAAAGTCACATGAAAAATGTCATGTTTTAATGAGAAGCATCAGAAGGAAATGTTTCTCAGTATGTAAGAGAACAGGAAGGGAAAAAAAATTTATATTTCATGATTTAATAACAAACTGTTTAGATTGGCCATTGTTAAACACTAAAACAGGAAAATATTTGATTATCTTACCTGATAACTGTTTTTATTCCAACAAAGATGAAATAATGAAAAGCACATCTCTATTAATGTTCCACTTCTAATATATACTATGATAACACAGCCCTGCGATAATTTTACTGTCTTGACATTTTTACATGTTCTACAGTAATTTCTGTATGCTGAATCCGAAAATGATATCCATTTTTATCCATCACATACAGATTTTTCACAAAAATCTTATGTGTATTTTTACATAAATTAAACATTTTCATTGGATTTGGGTCACATTTTGATATGCTTAAAATGTTAACAACTACTGGCTATAGACTTCTCTAGACCAATTCTGACACGAGTCTTATCAATCGTTCTACAACCTACAAGAAACACACTGCTAGTATATAAACAATTAACAGGTCACATGATGTGTCATTTCTAGGTAGTATTTGTTTGTGTGTGCACTTTGACGTTATTTATTTGTCACTATGACAACAAGAGGTTGTGTTAATAACCCAAACATATTCTGTTATATTTGTGGTAAATCTGTAGTAAAGAAAAAAGCCAAAACATTACGTAATTTGTCAAAAAAAACATATTACGCATATTTTGGAATAAAACTTGGGGACCAAGACAAATCATGGGCTCCGCATAAAGTCTGCACCATTTGTGTCAAAGAGCTGAGACAATCGACTAAAGGTAAGAAAAAGTATTTGCTTTTTGGAATTCCAGTGGAGTGAGCCTATAAACCATGGAGATGACTGCTATTTTTGCTCATGTAATGTGCAAGGCTACAACACTCAAAATAAAAAGGAAATTTCTTATCCAAACTTTCAATCTGCTATAAAACCTGTTGCTCATGGACCTGATATACCTATACTTACTCCACTGGAGACTCTTGATACAGTTTCATCTGATTCTGAAGTCAATAGCAATGATGATAGGGATTGTTTTAAACTTGAAACTTCTGGGGAACCACAACTTTTCACACAAGGTGAACTTAATGATTTAGTGAGAGATTTGGGCCTTCCAAAGGATTCTTCAAAGATTTTGGGGTCCAGACTTTGGGCTAAGAACTTACTTTCTTTAGGAACATAATTTTACTGGAACAGAAATTGTGAGAAAGAGTTTATATTATACTTTTTGCAAAAAGGTTCACTGGTTTATTGCAACAATATTGCTGAATTCGTACCAATGCTAGGAGCTGCAGTTTATGAACCAAGTGAGTGCCAATTGTTCATTAATTCCTCCAAAAGAAGTCTAAAAGGTGTTCTCTTTCATAATGGTAACATATATGCATCTGTTCCTATTGCTCATTTGGTTCACTTGAAGGAAACGTACGAAAATCTCGAACTTCTTCTTAATAAGGTCAAACACAAATAACATGTGGACACTTAAAAGTCCCATGTATGTTATTGGCTGATCACTGCTGGTCATTGAAATGAGATACTCCAGATGCAATACATAAAAGAAAGACCTCAACATGTTGTTTTGAGACTAAAAGACACAGATTTCACAAAAAAAAATCAGGAAGAATGAGGATGTATATTCATTTGACACCAATGTTCTTCCCTTTTCTTCAGTTCGTTTGTATTTTTGTTAACAAACATAATAATAAAACATTGTTCATTGTGGTAAACAAAATTATAATTTGATCTAAGTAAGTTTTTTCTTCCCAATTTGTAAAAAATCTTTACATGATAAAATAAAATGAATATTATTTTCAAAATCTGCATAACTGAATTACAGAAAATCCATTGTTAAAACCAAAACAACTTTTATGAAGTTTAAATTTGCAGGCTGGTGTAATGAATAGCAAGCCCATCACAGACTCAATTCTGTAAATTTTACACAATAATAACCATTTTTCTTTGTATTTATTGCAAGAAAAAAATGTATACTTAATCAGCTGTTATAGTATGCTACACAATCCCAAAATAATAAACGATGGTAGCCTCACTTTTCCATGTATATGGGATCCATCAGTGATTCTGGTGGCACATTCTGAAAAGAAAAAGACATCTGACCTACCTGTGGGTCAGTCAGTAGCCAATGTGTTAACATTATATCTTCTTGCCAGTTGCAACAATCTAACATAAAGTACCAGATTTTGATAAAACTTACATCATCATTTTCCCACAAATACAGATCTTCATCATGGGTAATACATGAAAGCTGATCTTGATGTTCATTTTGGCCGAGCCATGTTAACTTGTTCTGTCAGAAATAAACCATTTAATAACTGAAACAAAATGTCAGTTCTATTAAATTATCCAATAAAAAATAAGCGCTACTGACTTCTGGATCTATTGCTCTCTAAAACAGGTAAAATTCACTCAAAACTTTGTATTATAAACATTTTAATTCTAATAAATTTAAGAGTTGAAAAATGAATTACTTACAAAGTTTCTTAAATTCAAATAAAAACCAAAAAAAGATTAGTTCTAAAAATACTATCCACCTTTTATCATGCAAAAACTTATTATATGATATATAACAATAAAGTTGTACAATTTAGAAATAATGTAATTTTTAGGTTAGTAAAGTTACTAAAAAGTATTTCATTCCAAATTTTGAAGACTTTTACCTAATTTTTGGTAAATGTTAATCCCAATTATCTGATTTCTTTCAATCACTCATTATCTAACAGAATATGTCAAAACTTTTAATGACATAAAACATTGTAACTGTGATAAAAATTGTTAAGGTATTGTTACGTCTCCGTTTGTTAATTGATTTT